AATATGTTATCCCAGAGGCGCTACCACCATTAATTAAATGTATTGCTTTATTCTTGATATTAAACAAGGCTTGATGAGAAACAGATGTTTGGATTATCAAGAGTTTGAATATCTATCTTTTATTTTCCTTTGTTTGCTTTTGTCTTTATCTTTTTTTGCAAATAAGACAGACTGCAATATAAAAAGACTTCTTAGTTTCTGGTACTTATTCTGAATGCAGTCTTTTCTCCAGCTCTTTGTCTGGGATTACTACTCTTTGCTGCAGTGTAAATCTTGACAAATGCAGGATGAAGTTTACTTTTGCTGTTCAGGTTGGTACAGCACAGTTGCTTCAGATGTGAGCTGTGTAAACTGTCTGTCAGCTCTACTCCTTAATTTGGCAAAGGAGATATTAATGTAACCAGAGAAAATATTAGACATGGAAATAGTCAATGCTAGAAGAGCTTGTTAGAAGTAATCAACAAGTTCAGACTTTAGTAGGTCTTCTTTACACTGAGTGAAAAGAGGTGGTAGTGATGAAATATTGCAATGTTTCTTGTCCATGTATGTGTGTGTGTGAAGATTAGGTATTGTAGGAAAAAAAGTGCTGTTTTCTGCATGCAGGGAAATATAAATAAAACTACTTGATTTCATTATTCTGCAGCTGCAGGTTTGCAGACACCTTTGGCAGTACCAGGACCGTACCCTGCTCCATTTGGAATGGTACGTCATGCTGGCATGAATGGACAGTTAACCAGTCCAGAGGCAGCCTATACTAGTCTGCACAGTATGTCCCCCCACATGAGTGCTGCTGCAGCTGCTGTGATTGCCTATGGAAGATCTCCTATGGTAGGCCATATGTTGCTTGCAATCTCCGTCATGTGGGTTATGGTTCACTGAGAAGAGCTATATGCTTCATTTAGCATTGTTGAACTCACAAGTTATGACACCACCAAAGGCTTGACTGCTTTACTGTGTGTTTCATTTTTGCTGTGTGCCTGGAGAAACAAACTTGCACCTTGAAAATGAAGAATCTCAGTGTTTTTATGGGTTTTTTTTTTTTTGTAAGCCTTCATCAGTGCTTTGGTTTGTTAATAAATGCCAATTTATGCTTTAAATGAAAAGGTAGTTTTGGTAGCTACAAAGCACTTCATTGGTGCTCTGGATAACTATTTTTCTCTTACAGAAAGAGAAAAATAGTGCTGTACAGACATCCCAAATTAATCTTGAAGCACATACAAGGATAGAGAAGTAGAGGAAAAAACTTAATTCTAATGGAAAACAGAATGAGAAGTTGGTTGGTACATGTCTTGAAGGTCTGTGGTAAGGTGTGTTAAGAATAGTCCTTGTTGCTATTGTGGGTGTAATAAGTAAATGGAGCATAGTAATCATCACTGCTATTGAGCAGAATATCCTAAAGGCCTGATTCTGCAAAGCATATGAGCTTGACGGCAGCTTTATGCATGCATAGACTTAACTACTTGTGAATTTGCAAGACTGGACTTAAGCTTGTGTCATCTTACTCATTGTAGATAAGGTTATTTTTTAAAACTGGAAAATAGGGCTTTTATTTGAAAATGTGGAAATTCTAAGTAGCATATGCTCTCCTTAAAGCAATAAGAATTTTAGCTCAAGTATAGTGTTCAGAAGAAAAACTAAGTGGTTTTGGTCCAGAATTCCTGTTTGGATTATTTGATGTACATATTCAGGATAGAAAAGTTTAATGGAAATGCAATATATGGAGAGAGCCCATGTAATATATTTAAGCTGTAGACAGATTTTGTGTGCACCCCACAATGTAACGCAGTGTGAGATCTGTTAGATGATGTGCTCACAGTGCAGTGTGGTACCATGTGGAGATTCTAGCAGGGGCCTGACATTGCTTTTGAGCACTGTGCTGTGCCTGCATGGGTTAGTGCTAACTGTCAGAGCTAAAGAGCACTGATTAGTTACATGCCAACACATGGCCTCCAATTCTGGAGCTAGTTCAGTGCTAGCAAAGGAATCTTTGTGTTATGCTCTATCATGTGGTGTGGATACATGGTATAAATTGCTGGTTTTCTTTTTGAATATGAATACTTCTATGGAAGTATGTGGGGAAAAAAAAAAACAACCCACATATACTTCTCTAATACTGTGGGTAAAATACTTATTTTTGTTTAAATGCCTGACATCTTGGGGTGAAGAAAAGGGACTTGCTGAAGGAGAAACTGCAAGTTGTGTGATTAATTCATTTTTCATTGTCAGTTTGGGTTTGATCCTCCTCCTCACATGAGAGTACCTGGAATCCCTCCAAATCTAGCAGGTATTCCTGGGGGAAAACTGTAAGTCACTTTTAACACTTTGTTAACATCTGCAGCATCTAGAGAGTATAAACTTATATCAGTGAATAAAAATTCCAGAGGGAGTAGTGTCTTGGCTGTACTCAAGACTTCTCCCTATAAGGAATAGCGTGGAAATTCTCAACTGGTAGTTGTCATCTGAAACAGGTGTGCATTTACTTGTTTCCAAAGAAAAGCTGTTGAAGGTATACTTAGAGGTTTTTTAATCTCCTTTCTAGGGCAAGATAAGAGAATTATAAACTTGTATGTAGACACTGGTAAAATGAGTAAGATAAAACAGACCTAAACTAAACTTCATACCATAGTGAGCATAAATGTGTAGTGCAAATTCAGATTCCTTGTCTGACAGCTGTTTTAACAGGCGTGAGAGTCTGAAACTGTTGATCAGTGGATATCTAAAGCAACTACTTTTGGCAACTGATACACACTTTGCATAATGGAGCAAGCTCTTAAAAATATTTGTGGAAGTATGCAGCTGGAGAGAAAAAGGATAAGGAAACAGTTGTGCAGTGGGTGGTGCATATAAGATGCATATAAGATGATTTTTCACAACAGTTTCCTTTTATTGAAAGGCTTTAATTATTGGTGAAAGGGTTCTTGAATAAAATATTTCTGTGATGCTATGGCTTACTGATGTAACAATAAAATATTTTCACCAAAACAACATACATCAATGTTTTCGGTAATTTGGCTTTAAGAGACTTTTGAGACTGAGTTTGCCCATATTTAGTAGAGCCATGAGCATGCATGACCTATTAAAAAAGTAAAATCTGATTATTTTTTTAAGTATTTCTGGACAAGTGGTCTACACAGATATAAGCAACATATTTTGCAAATCCGACTAATCAATTTTCTTGGGGAGGGTGGGGCAGAGAGGATTATAAACATTTTGAACATTCCTTTAGAACTTATTCTTTGTACCTTCATGCTTGACATCCAGTCTTTTTTTTTCTCTTTCCAGAAAGTAGCAGTTAGAGTAGTTTTTCTCTCGCTAGGTACATACATAATTTGAAACCCATTTAATGTTTTGTGCTTCCTATGTTGGGTGTTCCTGGAACATACTGTCTTCTGTGACAATCTATCATGAGAGTTTTGTGAACTGTACAGTTTCATTTTTCCTTTTGCAGCTTCAGAAAAATTCAGAAACTATTACTTTTTGGATATTGTCCAAGTTATAAGAAACGTTTACTGTGATGAAGGTTTTGCGTGTGCACACACACGTGTACACATTTCTGTGTATCTTCTTTTTGACCTCCCATTAATACCTAGTGATACATTATAATGTGAATCATACAGACATCCTTAAAAGTGTACACCCAATTACAGGCAATAAAGCATGCGTTTTCTCCTACTCTTTTTCCACAGCAATAGGAAAGCAGCAGATTTCTTACATTAGAAAAGCCATCTGTGGTGGTGCATTTCTTCCCCCCCTCCTTGCACCTGGAGCTCTCGATAAGCCTTGGCCTTGGAGCGGTTGAGAGCCTCTTGGCCGTTCCAAGCACTCCTGCGTAGCTAAGGTAGAGAACAGTACTGACCATCTCAGGACTATCAGTTGTGGGAGTAATCCTCCTCTGATAGCCCTGAAACATATTTTTGTCTAATTATGACTTGGACAGATCGGTACCAGTGTTGAGAATTCTAGCAATTACTGGCAAATGATTTGTGGCAAGGATGGAAATTTACTGATGCCTGAAGTCAATCATCTCCCAGTCCTATAAATAGTGATCCCAAGTGAGACCCTTTGAGCTCTCCTGGACCGCAGTGGGCTGCGACCAACACCTCCCTCTGAGTGGGACACCTCTCAGAGTCCATGAACCCTGTTTGTGATCAACTCAGAGGCTTGACTGTTCACCCGTTGAGCGATGCAAAGCATTCAATGTGAGTACTCGACTGAATTCAAGGGGGATATTTAAAAGGTACCTTTGTACGTATATATCTCTTTTACCTTTGTACATATCTATCTC